CATTAAAGCCGCAACTGTGAACGGTGCCTCGAGAAGTGGCGGTAAATGTATTTTACTTGACTGGCACTGCTCTGAGCACCAGGGAATGGGGCCACCCACTGCTCCTGTTAAAATCCTGTTTCACAGCCCAGAGCCTTGCTTCTAACAGCTTTCCTTCTCCTGCTAGCAAGAAGCACTTCAAGGAATGTATCAGCTTCATCCACCACTGTCGTCTGCGTGGTGGGAATTGCCTTGTGCACTGGTAAGGCTCCCTCCCAAGCGCCCCTCGTGCAGCACTGTCCTGGGCAAAGTGCCAGGGGGAGTCAGCAGAGCCCAATGGGACACCAAGCGCAACCCAGCATAGACCCAGGGCACGCCCAAGTTGCCGGACCCCCTTGTCTGGGGGGCCTGGCAGTCAGGTCTGGTGTCACGGCGTCTCCCAAGCGGAGCTCAGTTGAGGATTCCTCCTGGGCTTGGGGCTGTTGTCCCAGGAGAAAGATGTTTGCTCTCATGGCACTGGGCAAGAAGGGGAAGCGCAGGGGTTGGGCAGGACTCCAAGAAGCGGAGGAGGGATTTGGAAACCAATGGAGGAGACTGCCAGGGCCCCGGGGTGGGGTCTGGGAGGAGAGGAGGGAACCCGCTGGGCCAGGCTGCACCTGGGGGCTGCGGCAGGCCCGGGCGATGAAGGGCAGCACGGCCCTGCTGCCAGCCCAGTCCTGCTGCGGTTCCAGCCTTGCAGGGATCTCCCGGAGCACCACCATCGTCATCGCCTACGTCATGGCGGTGACGGGCCTGAGCTGGCAGGAGGTGCTGGACGCCGTGAAAGCCGTGCGACCCGTTGCCAATCCCAACCCCGGCTTCAAGCAGCAGCTGGAGGAGTTTGGCCGTGGGGCCGTGCGGAAGGTGAGCGCGGGGGGCTGCCCATCTCCTAGGCGGCACTCTGCGTGCAGCAGTCCAAGGGGTGCTTGCCAAGGACCCAGCCATGGCACAGCGCTTCCCAAGCACCATGCGAGCCAAGGGGGGCGGGAGGGGAGGAGGAAACCCTTGTGTCCACAGAAACTTTCATCCTCAAAGAGCACGGGGGACTTGGGAAGAGGCCAGCATCTGGACTGAGAGCCGGGGAGACGGTGCATCAGACTCCTCTGCAGGGAGGCAGAGCTCCCCACCAGGCCTCTACCAGGAGACTTTCAAAGGCTGGATAGGGTCATCACCAGCCTCTTCTCCCCACAGGTTCACAGACACCTGGAGCAGCGGTTCGGAGCAGACCCCTTCAGCGATGAGGCGGAGATCAAGGCCCTGCTGCCAGCAGGTAGAGGAGGTGCGTCTGGGGCAGAGGGAGCCAGGCAGGGCCTGGTGCCCCGGAGCAGAAGCATCAAGGGCACCACTGCACCCTTCCTGCTGCGGGTGAAGAGGACCTTTTCCTGTATCCCCACCTGTCTAAAATGAGCCCAGCGAAGGAGCAGGCGGGCGTGCAAGCAGAGCACGCTGGGACCGCGCAGCCCGGCAGACTGGTAGGTACGGAGACCCGGTCTGGAGCATCACTCCTGGTACGTGGAGGGAGAGGCGCCATACACAGAGCAAGCACTGGACCACAAGCCAGGAGCGCCCAGGCTCTCATCCTAGCTTTTACTGTGCTCCTTTGTGATCTCAGACCAGTCACCTGCCTCAGTTTCCCCCATCTGCAGAGCGGGGGGACTCATTCTTCCCCCTCTCCTTCCCGGACAGCCAGAGGATCACGTAGCAAACATGCATAGCCCATTCAGGAGACTCCGAGTACCCGTCAGCACCACTAGCATGTGAAGGGCCCCAGGCACAGATCAGCAAGGGCGATGGCTCACAGCAGCAGTGCGGGGGACTTCCCTGCTCCGAAGACGTTGCAGTCACAGCACTTTCAGTAGAGGCTACGCAGAGGACTTCAGGGAGCTTCTTACACAGCTCGGCGCTGCAGCAAGTGGCTTCCCCTGGGAAAGTAGCACATGTGACAGGGGTGCGAGCACATGTAGTTCACTAGCATGGGCTGAGGTCCAATGCTAGGCACCAGGCCAAGACAGCGTGAGCCCAGAGCGAGCATGGCTTCGGAGCCTGCCGCCCCACATCCCGCACAGGCCGGGATGTACCTCTGCGAGGTGGAAAACATGCAACACATGGCCGGACTCCGCAGAACTGAGCATCCAGCCTGCTTAGCCTGTAATAAACCTCCTCGAGTACCCCTGCTCTGGCTGGACGTGCGTTTCAGACCGGTCTTGAAGGCGGGCATGGCAGCAGGAGCAGGGCCGTGCAGCAGGCTCAGCTAGATCCCAACCGGGGGACGAGAGGGGGAGTCTGCTTGTTCTGACCCTAGCTCTGCAAGGGCTGGAGGGGAGAGCAGAGGCAGGGGCCAGCTCCTGGCCATGCCACGGTGGCTGAGATGGATGGCAGGGGGGTCCTGAGCAGCGCGGTGCCCACTGCCTTTTCTGGCTCCTGCTGGGAGCCCACAGCATGCCCGCTCCATCTCTTTCAGAGGCATTAACACCGCCCTGCAAGAGCCCGGGGAGAGGCTGCTCTGGCCCCCAGCCCAGCACCAAGGCATCTGCAGTCCTGGCTCGCCAGGGTGCGACGAAAGCCCCTGGGCAAGGAGGGGGGTGTCAGACACAAGCACCCGGGGGCCAGGCCGGTGGCGTGTGGGGGCTGCTAGGACTGCAAGGAGTACCAGCACCAGTGGGCTCCTCCGACCCCCTCTCCCCGCCTCCCACAGCCGCTGGGGCCCAGACAGCTCAGCATCCTGGAGGCGCCAGCTCTGGGGGCCGGAGCAGCCGTTTCCCGCCCGGTGCTTTTCCCTCATCTCAGCCTTCCCCAGCCAGCGGGCACGCACCCCCCCGGGAGCTGGGGGCAGGTCCAGGCAGGAGGAGAGGAGAAGCCTGCAGGGACCGGCGGGGTTTCAGTGCTGCTTTTTGCCGAGCACAGGGCACAAGGTCGAGCGAGCGAGCCGCGCGGAGCCAGCGAGACGCCTTCTGGGGGTAGGTAATGTCCCTGCCACAGATGCTGGAACGGGACATTACTATTAATAATTAACAGTGCTCAGCCGGTGCCTGTTGAGTGCTAGCTGCCTTGCCCCACAGACAGGAAGACAAGTTTGGCAGGGCAAGACCCTCAGCCCCCACGGCCTTGCTAAGGCCCCCAGCCTCACCCAGGCCTGTGTGGGGGCTCCCCGTGGCCCCGGGAACGATGTCCAAGTGAAGGTGTGGAGGCCACACAAGCCCACAGGCCTGGCATGTTTCTGGGCTTTTAACCAGCCTCCCCATCTCCCTGGGGAAGACCAGGAGTGCAGCAAAAGGATTTCTGTGCATCTCTCGGGGCAGCTGGAAGTCTCCAGTTCACCATGTCAGTGATTAGGAGAACGAATGCAATCGTTGGATGTGGCAGCCTGGAGCCGTGCCCGAGTTATATGGAGCTAGACAAGCTGATGCACCCCTAGGCTCAGGGTCTGATCTATGGAGGCTGCAGGAAGAGGGCACTTAATGTCTTCCTAGTGCCTCCAACGTCATGGGGGTAAGGCGAGGAGCTCTTTCCCCGTGCCCCCCAGCTCCCTTTGCACAGAGCCCAGTGCCCCAAACTGCCCTGCAGTAGGGGTGGTAGGGCATACACCGCTCTCTGCAGGGGCTGGAGGCATCCGTGCCAGCGCTGGGAGCTGTATTTGCCCACCCTGCTTGCCCACGGGGCGGCTCTGCCCAGGGGGCAGGTTTTCCCCCTCGGGGGCACTTGCGCGGCGGAATTCCCCGGCCCCGCGAGCGCCTCCAGAGTTCCCTGCACACGCAAGCGAAAGCTTCGCGGCCGCGCCAGTGACGCAGAGAGGGAGCGAAAGTGCATGCGAGTGAGCAGGAAGGGGCCCCCTTCCCCCAGCAGGAAGAGGCCGGCCTGCCCTCCTCAGCACCAGGGCACTGATTTGGCCCAGGCAGGGGTGCCACCTGCCAGCAGCCCAGAGGACCACATTGCAGCCCACGGGTGGCATATCATTACTGTCTGCCCGAGACACCCTCGCTACACGGGCATAAATCCAAGGCCCCCGAGAGCGTGCAGCACAGGTGCGCGCCGCGCAGACCCGCCAGCCCCTTGCAGGAGACTCAGCCGATCACCACGGTCTCTCTCTCAGGCCTGCGGTGCTCGCACCTGGCCGCAGGGGTGCAGGGAAAGCCCTGGCCCCCTTCCTGCACTGTACAGCTCAGGCACGGTCCGAGACCCCTGGACAAGGGATCAACCCCTTTGGGAGTCCACTGCAAGTGCAAATGGAGCAGGGGGGTCAGGGAGGAGGCTTGGGGTGGGGGGGCTGCATCCGTCTGCAGATCCCTCCACTGCCTGGCTAGCCCAGGACCCCTGAGACGGCCTGGTGGGTCCCCCGGGGCCGTCAGTCACACAGGCCCATCCCGACCTATTCATTTCTAGGATTTCCATCTGAGCCGAGCCTGCGGCTGTCAGCCCCCACCTCCTCCCTTGCCCCCCAGGCACCAGGCTACTCACTTCCTGTGACTCAGAAGCGGAGAGCAAGCTGGCCTGGCGCTGGGGCCCAGCCTGGAGGGGCAGAGGTCACCGCAGGAGCCGCGTCTGCGGCCAGGCAGGGCCGCGACCGGCTCAGCAAGTGCCCCAAAGCAGACCCTGCTGCACGCACGGCTGAGGCCCCCAGGCCCCGGGGCCGCTGAGCCACAGCATAGCAGGCCGCTGCCCTTCTCTCCAACCCACCGAAGCAGAGAGCGAGCTAGACTTACCTGCAGCCCGCCACGGCTCCCATCCTGCCCCAGGCTAAACCCACCTCCCCCAGGCCCAGCTGCAAGTCTTCAGCCCAGGCGCAGGTAGCAGAGGCCTGGCTGGGGGAGCCCCTCGCCTCCCAGCTCTGGTACCCCACCCTTTCAAGCAGAGAGGGAGGCAGCTCGGAGCAGACCCCACGGGTAACAGTGTCCATGTTACCCATGCAGCTGCCACCACCCCAGGACCAAGAGGGCAACAGAGCCCGCGCTGCCCGCTAGGACGGACTCGAGGGCACACTGCGCATGGCTGGAGGGCGCCTGCCCCGCTGCCAGCTTGGCACCTTGCGCGTGCCCAGCGAGAGGGGGCCGGACCCGTCCGCCCGCTGCCGAGCAGAGGTGGGCTCCAAGGGGCCCGGGGCCAGGCAGGAGCGGCTCCAGCAAGCAGCGCGCCCCGGGACAGTGCCTCGCAGCGGGGGTGGCAGTGCCGGGGCCTGGCCTGACGCCAACGTGACGG